TCTCCACCCCACCGGAACAGGGGGGCAAACCTCTGAGGTCTCATTGGGGATGTTGGGAACCCGTGGTGCCCAAGGAGCTCGAAGCCCGGCCTTGAGCCTTGAATCCTCATGTGGTCATCGTGGGATAGGACTGGGCAGGCTTGCTGGTGGCGTTCCGGTGGCTTTCCACATGGGCCTCAGTTTCCCCATCAATAGCAAGCCTGTGCCATCCCAGCCACAGCCTCATGGCACTGCGCCAGCCTTTTGCAGAGGCACCCATGCATCATGCAGCAAAGGGAAACTGAGCTGTGGGAAGTGAAGGGAGATGCATTCTCCCCAGTAGGGGTGTGGCCTTGCCTCAGTTTCCCTGCTGGAGGTCACCTTTTCAGCCTGTGCCTCTAGGTTGAGCTGTTTAAACCTTTAAACCTCCAGACAAAGCATAAGGACTCCTTTTCCAGGCTGTATGAGAGTGCACATCCTTCCCAAACCCAGCTGGGGTGTGATGGGCAGGACATGAGGGCAGCCTGGGAGCCTGATGTGGGACAGAGGGGCCCTGGCAGGATCTCAAGCTTCAAACAAGCGGCTCAGAGGGGGGTTTGCACTGGGGCCAGGATGGCAAGTGAAGTCCTATAGACCCCCAGCTGTGTGAGAGCGAAAAGGAAACCCAGAACATAGTTAAACACTGGGATTCAGCATGTGATTTTCGAGCCCCTGGGTCTTGGCCAGACTGTAAAGTTCTGGGTTTGGAAGCTGCAGCACAGCTGGTGCTCCCCAGCAAGTGAGGCTGACAGAAGCACAGGCCGCCCAGGTGCTGCTCCCCAGGGGATCCTAGGGGATGTGGCCTTGTAGTCTTCGGGCATCCCAAAGCACCGGGGGTTGCTAAGTGGATACTGTGGGCATCCACAGCCAGGAAAATCATGTTTTCAAGCAGGACAAGCTCTGAGCCCGCAAGAGCAGTGCTGGAGGCAAGTGGGGGCTGAGTGGGGCATTCTTTGGGGTGCGTGAAATTCGGGCAACCCATGACCACGCAATCTCCATGCCACAGGACGGGTGGCATGGGCAGGAGGCTGTCAGCACGGCGTGCCTGCCCTCTGCCCACTGTGGCTCCAGCACTGCCAGTGGTGGAGCTGGAGCATTTGCCTGCTGCGGCAGGAGGCACGGGGCTGGCGGGATGTGCAGCTGCACGAGCTGTGCCATGGAGGGCACTCCAGGCAAAATGTGTGGGGAAAGAACAGGAATTTCTATAGCCAGTGGTGTGCTGGGCAGCATGGCGTCGTGCTCAGGCTTTGCCTCCCAGCCCCAAGAACCAGGCACCTTGCTCCAGCTGTGCTGGGGAGGAAAAGCTACCTCTGACACAGGCCCACCTGGGACTTGCCCTCCCGAGCTGGCATTGGCAGGGCTGGCGATGCCACCTGCTTCCCTCCCTCACATGCCTGCCTGTGGATCCGTTCCCCTGGAGCCAGTGCCTGGGTAGCAGGAGCATGGGAGCCTGGCCAGAGGCCAAGGGGCTTTATAACCAAGCAAGGTCATTTGGCTCGTCTCCTAGAGGGTAAAGCAGTGAGCACCCCCCCAGAGAGGGGGAGGCACATCAAGAGCTGCAGCTGCATCGGGCATAGGTCACACCGCAATGCTAGGGCTGTGCCATGCCAGAGCTAGACCCAAAGAGCGGGTGCTGAGCAGCATAGCATGTCTGCCACCTCCCATTGTGGACACTACCACATCACTTCCAGGGATGTCCCCAAGGGCTTTGGGGTGTGGAGTGGCATGTGCAGCATCCTCGTCCAGCCAGCCCCACAGCTGGGGATCTCACCCATTCCCTGACTGACTGGGCAGGGCAAGAAGTCCCCTGGGTGCTGGCACACTGGTGCCACCCATACCTTTTGTCTTGCCCTCCCTGCATACCTCTCCCTGTCACGTTGTCACCCAGGCTCAGCACTGAGCCAGCACTGCCCCGTGGCCCTGCTCCATCCCCTGGGATCAGGTCTGACTATGTCCTGTCCCCACCCTGGTCTCTCCAGGCTCGGGTGCTGGTTTTGCTCTGCTCGCTGTCCCCTCCTGCAGGGCAGTGGGGAGTCCCCTGGTCATGGACCCCAACAGCATCTGCCGCAAGACGAAGCGGCTGGCAGGGAAGCAGGCGGAGCTGTGCCAGCTGGAGCCAGAGATAGTGCAGGAGGTGGCCAAGGGCACCAAGCTGGGCGTCCGGGAGTGCCAGTACCAATTCCGCTTCCGCCGCTGGAACTGCACCAGCCACAGCAAGTACTTCGGCAAGATCCTGCAGCAGGGTAAGGCCAGCGCTTCCTCTGCCTCCCATCTCCTAAAAAGCCTCCAGCCGCCGGGTCGCGTGCCTCCCTGGGACTGCTGGAGAGGAGTCTGGGCATGCAGACCTGTGAGTGTGTGTGCTCTGTGTGTGTGTGTGTACAGGGGGTTGCTCAGTGCTCCCTGGTGTAGTCACGCTGAGGTTTTACTGCTGGGACATGTCTCCCTGTGTTGTAATGAAGCAATTACCGATGCTCCCAGACAGTACGGGGCTTCACAAAGCCCAAGAATGCAACCTCGTCTGGCAGTGATTTACTACTACCCTGGGGACCCCGGGGTGTGCTGGGGGAAGGGGCCCGGGTGGGAGGCAGTGCTCAGCAGTGGGGAGCTGCTCCTCACCCCATGGGTGCCCTGCACATCCCTCCTCCTGGCCTGGCAGCGTGCAGAGGAGAGGTGTGCTTGTCCCCTGTCCCTGTGTCCCTAGGTGGGCATCCTGGTGTCACCCAGAGGGATAGGGTGGCAGGGAGGGATGGGCAGGACCCAGCCAGGTGGATACAGTGGTCCAAGGCCAGTGCAGCTGCAACAAGGCCAAACAGAAGCTGAGCAAAGGGGTACCCATGAGTTTTTAAGAGATGGAAAAGCACTGCCAGGATCCCCAGGAACAGAGGCTGGCAGGTGGATAGGGAAGTGGGGGGTGAACTTGAAGCACCTTCGGTTGGTAGGGTCACTTAGCAGGTGGTGAGTTGAGTCCTGCCCCTGTTCCCTTGTTGGTCCCTGCGCTGGGAGAGACGAAGATGCTGGAGTAAGCCCCGGTATTCTAGGCCATCACATCTAATGGTTCATTTTGAGTGTGCCCTTGGACCTTGCAGTGGGTCAGGGTGGCCTCCCTGGGGGTTTGGTAAGGACAGAACACCCTGGGCACATGCCAGCTGTGGGTACCAGTGGGGGACAAAGCTGGGGCTCCAAGGGACACACTGACCCAGGCTCATTTAAGAAGCTGCTTTGCAAGTGTGGGTTCCCCCCAACACAGGCAGGTGCATTCAGTTGAGGGGCAGAAAGCTAGGGCACATGGGGAACATACAGCCTCTGGAGTCACATATTTTCACACTGACCTGGCAGTGAAGTAGGTGGGATATGTGCCAGGCAGGGCTCTGGGCTGGAAGTGGGGTGGTGCCAGGATGCCAGGGCCAGACCATGCTGGCGGATGAGCTGTTGGATAGCCAAGGCCATGGG